GTGGGAGCGTCCGCAAGGTGGCACGTGCAGTGGGAGTTCCGGCAGGTGCACGCGCAGGTGAGTCCGCCAGGTGGCACGTGCAGGGTGGAGGCCGCAGTGGCACGCGCAGCAGGGGGTGGGAGCCCTCAGTGGCACGTGCAGCGTGGGATGTCCGCAGGTGGCATGTGCAGGGGTGGGGTTAAGAGACGGGATGTGCTGGGGAGGCGAGTAGGAAGGCCATTCTGCGGGCTTTGGGTTTTGTAGTGTGGTAGCGTGTGGGAAAGCCCGCAACCCTGAAGACTAAACAAGCTATGTCAAGTGTCCCATGCCTAAAAGCAGTCCTCCAGGGCAGTGACCGGGGTGCGCCAGGGCACTACGTCGTGTCTGGGGGTGTGGACGCTGGTCCCGATCCTCTGCCTTCCTGTGGCTTACTATTTACACCTTAAACATACTTTTTTTTTCTCTTTGTTGGAGACAGTCTCCACCCTGTTGCCGGCTAGACCTCCCTTGATCTCTGTCGCTCTTGCTCACTAGAAATGTGTTCACCTTCTGTCTCACAACGGCCTCCGCACCTCCCAACGCTCCAGGCTATCCACAGCCTCATCGAACTTATGAGCATAGACATGATTCCCTTTGTTTTATAAACAAGAAGTTGGGGGTTTTTTTTTTTGTTTTGAGACAGAGTCTCACTTGTTGCCCAGGCTAGAGTGAGTGCCTGGCGTCAGCCTCCTCACAGCAACCTCAACTCCTGGGCTCAAGCATCCTCCTGCCTCAGCCTCCTCCAGTACTGGACTACAGGCATGCGCCACCATGCCCGCTCCATTCTCCTGACCTTGAGCAATCCGCCCGCCTCGGCCTCCTAAGAGCTAGGATTACAGGCGTGAGCCACCGCGCCCGGCCACTTTTAGATCTTTGAGCGCAGAGATGACATGATAAAAAGGGTATTTGAAGAAGAGTGGTTAGTGGAAAGTATCTAAACTGTATAGTAGGAGAGTGTTTGAAAGCGAGGACTGCAGTCAGTATCTTATACGTGGGTGAAGACAGCTGATATTTCTGCCAGTAAGAGAATGAGGACCCTAGGCTTGAAATACAGTACGTATGTGCTACTAGACATTAAACTGAATCAAAATCTCTTACCGTTTCAATGCTGTCGTTTGAATGAATGAAAACCAGGTAAGTCTTCAAAACAGCAACAAGCGTAGATTGAGAAATCGTCATCCACGCACAGGCGCATTCGGAAATCGCCGTGTGCGTTTGAATCAGTCTGGTTTTTTTTCCCCTACGAGGACTGCCAGCGTGTTGTGTGTGGCACATGACACAAGCAGTGGCACTATGTGCAGGTGCGCTGGGGGTGAGGGGCGAGGTCCTGGCGTGGGCGGGCCGGGGTCCCTTGCAGGGGCGAGTCGAGGTCAGATCAGTTCTCCGCGTGGCAGGAACCGGCAAGGTCCGCAGAGCAGGGACGTCCTGGTCTGCAGAGCAGGGAGGGCTCCCAGGATGAGAGAGTGATTCTCTTACCCGAGATTCCGCCCCTCATCGGGGAGGGCCGGCAGCACGTTTTGAGCAGTGCGGGGAAGGGTCCTCTCGTGTGTCCTTAGCCTCGGTGACCGACCTCTGGGGTCACTGGCGCCTGGCTGCTTTATTTCCCTGGGATCGCACCGTGCTTTTTCCAGCTTCAGTTCCATCTCGTCTCTCGTCACTGCTTCTCATGGCCAGCCCGTGCCATCTGCACCGTCCTGGCTCTCCCACCCACCTTGACCAGCCTCACTCCCCGGCCTCACGATCCGTCCCCGCTCACATTTAACAAAAATAAAATTGAATTTCTCTCTCAGTTGAGTGACTGTTGTTTGTTCTTATTACATAAAGCGAAGTAGGAGAGTCTTAAAAGTCCAGCAACTAACTCGATACTGAAACCATCACAACACCTTTAAAAAAAAAAAAAAAGACACATCGAGGCTGGGCGGGGTGGCTCACACCTGTCATCCCAGCACTCTGGGAGGCCGAGGCGGGAGGATCGCTCGAGGTCGGGGGTTCGAAACCAGCCTGAGGAAGAGCGAGACCCCGTCTCTACTAACACACCTGCACATTACGAGTTGGTGGCCTTTAGGAGGGAGTTTGGGTTTTAATTGCTTTTAAAAACTCACCAGGGAACGGTTTTGGTCATTAGGTTACTATTGCTAAGAATAGGACGATCTGTTCGCCCCTTCTTGGGATTTTATCAAGGATCTAAAATAAAGATGGAAGTTGAGTGAAGATTATACGTATACTGATCATGCTGTGTGTTAGATATCACTTTATATTGATGGATGTGATGCTGGTATAAACAAAAAGTGTAGCAGTGATTGAGAATCTACTGGAAAATAACCGTGTTCTCCATAAGTAGCAAAAAAAAAAAAAAAAAAAAAAAAAAAAATCATACATAATTGTTTTGTTGGGGTAAATTTTGATTTTCAGCGATGAGCTTTTGTGTCTGTTGTTTTACGCGATCCTTTATGTAGATAGAATTATTGAAGATGAAATTTTACGAAGGTATAACGTGCTCGGATTTTTTTTCAAAGGAAAATTTTTGGCTTAATAGTTTTTCTTTCTTTTTTTCTTTCCTTCTTTCTTCTTTTCTTTCTTTTTCTTCTTTCTTCTTCTCTTTTTTTTTTTTCTTTTTTTCTTTTCTCTCTCTTTTTTTCTTTTTTTTCTTTTCTGGTCAAAGAGTTCTTTGTTGCCGGTAGAGTGTGAGTGCGTGCGTAGCCTCCTCAAACTCCTGGGTCAGCGATCTGCTGCTCAGTCTCCGAGTAGTGGATACGGTGCCCACGATTGCGCGGCTAATTTTTTCTATCGTAATATATAGTTGTTAGTTGGCAATATTTCTTTCTCTTTTTGTGAGATGGGGTCGTCATCTTGCTTGGCCTGGTTTCGGAATCTGACTTGGAATATCGCTCGGCTCCAGAGTTTCGTATGAAAGGGTGACCACGTACTGGCCAAGTTGTTCTTTTTTCAGATCTATGTATGGAAATTTGACACACTTGACAATATAACAATGCCTTGGAAATTGCTTTTTAAAATTATTTGTGCAACGTGATTTAGTGGTTGTTTTATATTTTAGGAAAAGATATTGATGGA